AGCTTCATTTTTGTGGCGCATCTGTGTCTTATTTTGAAGGGATATGTAAACGTTACCATAGCGACCAGAGTCAGAGAGCATTTGGGCGAGAGGAGATGAATAGAGCTTGTGAGTCTTAAGTCTAGTTTAGACGGCGAGATTTAAGAATTGTAGGCCGATTCTCCAATCCTCTGTAACCACACAGAGCTGATAAAAGTACAACAGGTTGGATCAGTTCGTCTGTCCAGCCACACGGCAGGAGCAACTATGCTGTACTGATTTGGAGGTGACTACGTTTTTTCATAGTTAACATTTTTAACTGAGTAAACATAATAATATATAATAATGACCTTTACATAAATAAAAATTTCCACATATAATCTCCGATATCCATCGGACTCTCAGTTGCGCGATATGTCAGCTGTTTGGGATTCCCCTCTGTTCTGACTTCACCGCACTTTCTGATTGGCTACCTGTCACATTCAACAGGCTGTATTCTCGTTCCCAGTCAGGGAAGGGAAAACCCCACAGGCTGCGATAAAAGGGCCAAGACAACCCAAATTGGGTATATTCAGGCTTTAGCAGGAACACCAACATGCATGCAGAAGCCTTATCTGACGGCCCCCCGGACCGCAGCAAAATTTCCAAGTCTTGACCGGTCCGCGGTAATAACAAGGATGGGGACCACTGCTTTACATGATTGTAAAGCATCAAAACAACATGTTTGCTAATTTATTTGCTGTAAAGCTAGGATACCTGAATGTCGGGACGACATTTCATTTTTGAGGGGAGAGTGTGGGCTGCACAGTGGCGCAGTGGGTAGAGCTGTTGCCTTGCAGCAAGAAGGTTCTGGGTTCGATAAATAGTCTCCCTGTGCATGCAGCTTCCTTCCACAGTCCAAAAACATGACTGTCAGGTTAATTGGCCTCTCCAAATTGTCCCTAGGTGTGTGTGTGTGTGTGTGCGCGCATGGTTGTATGTCCTGTTGCCCTGTGACAGACTGGCAACCTGTCCAGGGTGTACCCTGCCTCTCACCCGGAACGTTAGCTGGAGATAGGCACCAGCAACCCTCCAACCCCACTAAGGGACAAGGGTGTAAGAAAATGGATGGATGGAGGGGAGAGTGTGACAGAGAGGACATAGAGATGATTGAACCCCTCTCCCTTTTCTTATTTTGTTTAAAGACTTCTATCTTTCTTATGTTGACTGTGCTCTTAAGCTGCACTTCTCCTCGGGCTCGGGCTGGGAGATGAACTGCAGTTGCAGCAGTTCGCCACCAGTGGGCACATAGAGCTTAGTGAGTGCTCCTGATTCAGCGAACCAAGGCAATTTAGCATAGTAACGGCTGGTCAGCGGAGGCGCTCACTGTCGCTCTTGTTTCTTAACAGTGTTCAACAATAAAAGAAACTGCGAAAAACACACCAACTTATTTAGTGTGCAACATACGCCTACAGTTTCCCCAAAACGCCACATACGTAGCCACTCCCAAGCATAAGGGCTGTTTCGCTCCAACTCCGGCCATCCTCTGATGAGCGCTAGCACCATCGCTGAATTAAGAATATATTTTATGTAACTGTTTACATTCATTGCTGTTATGATTATTAATGACTTATCAAGTAAAGCTTATTCATGTGTGATTTTAATTTCATGTCTTATTTAATGGAAAAACCACAATTGCAAAATTGTGTTTTTCAACATCGGCAGAAAAGAGACAAAGATTTGCGCACATTTTGTAATGGAAACACAGCTAGTAGAAAACTATACCAGAGACTGTTGCTTTCTCTTCTAAAATGAAAGAGTAAATTGCTGAGTATTAATGTTCACAATATGCAAAATGGCTGGAAAGAGACTGTCCCATCTGTGCTATAGTGAAGCACTGAGGTGATTTCTAACTGAAGCGATTTCTTCTTACTTAGATTCAACTACAGTGATGGAGAGCTCAAACAATCATCTCTGGTCAGCAAAGAAAACAAGTGTGTAGCTTACATGCAGAAACTGCTGAATGTACATTTTCAAGGGTGATCAAACAATTATTATACATTGAGAAATGTGCATAAAGAGCATAAGGAGCAAACATACCTGTCTGGTAGTAAGAGTCTGCAACACTGGGCTGCGGCTGTGCAGCAGCAACAGCTGCTGTAACAGAAGGCTGCTGGTAGTACTGCTTACTGTCATAAGCTACAGCTGAAGCCGTGGAGCGGACATATGAGTAAGAGTCCTGCAAAGAAAATCTGAATTTTAAGTCAGGTTGCTTATTTTCTTGTTCCCAGAGAAATGTCTAATAGGTTTGTTGTTAACCATATCCAACTCTGAATATAAAAAAAAATTTCTAATTGGAAAAATCTGATGGTTTGAATATGAAAGTCTGCAATAAAGCAACCCAAAAAGGACAAATGACACTCAGTGGAAGAGTAACTCATCTGGGGGTCAACCTACTGTATTTGAATATCTGAAAATATAAAAGACAAAACATTTATGCAAGTGCATCAAACTTAAATGCAGTTCTTGTATTTTGTAAATTTAAAAGCTCAATATTCCAGTTCATTAATTTCATTCATCTGGTATCCATCACATCAACAACACAGGCGGCCCAGGAAGAGGACGTGTGTGTTGGGTACCTGGTAGTTCTGTGAAGTGACTGGTGGAGGGGGTGGCGGGACCTCCGCCTGGCGTTGTGGGTAGCCATAATCATTGGTAGTGTGGGTTGGTTGGTATCCTCCATAAGCGGCAGCAGTTGCAGCTGCCACAGCAACAGGCGCAGGCCTTGCTACGGCAACGGCAGCTGCAGTGGGTGCATAGGCTGCTGCAACAGTGTGTGCTGCCACAGGTGCCTGATGAACTGTGTAACTGGCCACAGTGGTGGGGTGAGTGTATGCTACCCCTGCAGCTGGCTGCTGGCTGGAAGGACAACAGGGTCAAAGGTTAGCTTCAAACACAGAACCACGTAATGCTAAAAGAGGCATAGCTAACAGAAAAACCCAGAGGTCTCCAGTTTACCTCAGCTGTTCCATAACAACAGGGTGATAAAAGTGTTGCATCCAAGCAGGGTTTTCCCCAGTGTATTATAAGCCTGGCGGCCCGCCATGCTTTACTAGCCTCGCCGCCAGGATAAGCGTTGCTTGTTTACTTTAAAAGGGAAAAAAAAATTTTTTTTTTAAAAATCTCTCTTTTTTTTTTTTTAAAGCCAGGCTGCAAGCGTCTCTGTTGCTCTCAGCATTTCACTAGCAAAGCAGATTTATCCTTAAGGATAGGTTTATAATAGATAGGTTTATAGTTTATGCATTTAAACCCGACAGCGCGTCACACCGCTGGCGCCTCTGCGCTTTGCCTCGCGCGCTGCCGCTGCTTTACCTCAGCGGGATCGCGCACGGCTCCTTTCACTCAAACTGGACTCAGGCTGACCTGTATGGATATTTACATCAACCTACTGTGAGGAATTATGATCCTCTGGAGAACTCTAGGTAAGAGTTTAAAACTTGCCGCTTTAGCTCTGGTTGCGCAGCTCAATGTGAACCGCAGGAATAACTTATAGCGAATTCAGAGGCGCGTTGTGGAGCGGTGAGAATGATTAATCTTTGTGAACGAACAATTATATGCGGCGTTTACATCTCAACACAGCATGTGGCTCTGTGTCTGTCTTCCCTGTAAAGTTTATGTCTGTGGTCCCGGTTGGCCGGAGCGTTTGTGGATAACGAGCAGCGCTAACCACATCATGCAGGTTCAGCCCGGTGAGGAGCTTTCGCGCTCTCCTCGGAGTCACGCATCACGCTGATTTTATGTCATTTTATTATTATTTTTTGTATTATTTTTCCGGTTACACGATGCATCAAACCATATCAAATGCGTCGTCTACTCAGAGTTAATGCGCGCGGCCGCACAGAGATCTGAGAAACTCGTGACCGTCAAGCACGGTCGAGTCCCATAAATTCGACCAACCAGAATAGTTTCTGTGACGATTAAAAACTCAACAGACACGAAATGGAACAACTACTAAAGCCAAATTTCCCTTTTGTTGCGCATCTCTGCGCAGTGCAGCGGATTTGCTCATTGTGCATTGTCCAAGGCTGCATGAGGCCTTGCGCAGACTTTGACCTAGGGACCCCTATAGCTGCTAAAATCATCAACACCTCTAACAGCTTCTGTGTTAGAGTTAGTGAAATATGGGAGAAGGGAGTAGTTTAATTGGCCAACCTAAAAAGCAATAAGTTATAATCGCAGTTTACTAAATTGGATTTGTAAATTCAAAGATTAAACTCACAGCATCAGATTGTTGTTATGGTAACACAATCTAACTATGAATATTGTTCTTTGAAGTTTTACAAAGTAAACTTGCCAGCTCCTTAAAATCTAGCATTTAAATGTTAAACAATTTAAAATCTTTTAATTTATGTATGCTGAAATTGAATCAAGTTTAATAGCATTGATAATGTCAATAAACAAGTGTTACATTTATGCATCTGTGGTCTGTTTTAAAATATTAGCGTTTATGGGCCCCTGAAGCTCTTGGGGGCCTGATGGAGCTGTTGACTTAATTTGGATTAACAGAAGTGCAAATTTGTTGTTTTTCGACTAGTTGCAGGTTTAAATAGCATTTCACTGGAAATGTTTTCCTGTAACATATAATTACACAGTAACACTTTAATATTTTCTGTCAACTTAACATCTTTTAATACAAAAACACGGTAGACCACTTCGATGCCCCCACCACCGGGCTTAGCAAGTTTTCTGGGGGAAACCCTGCCTCCAAGTATTACCAACTATGGACCATTAGGTGCTTTAAGTGTCACCAGGAAGCAGACTGTTCATAATGGAGCTGACAGACATCTCAGAGTTGTCTGCACACTTATTAAAATCCTCAAACTTTTCCAACAGCTGGGCTTTCAAAGTCAGGCATTGGAGTACCAGGCTACTGCAGCTTTCAGATGACTGAGCACATCTATCCTGTTCCTACAGTCAAACTTCCCTTTTGTGCACGCTAACATTTCCTCAGCTTTCAGCATTCTTTCATGCATTTAGTCTTCCTCTCCAGTCAGTCTCACAGAAATGTTAGCCTTGCAATTTTTTGGCTTGCTTTTAGACTTCACTGAACCAAAAAATAACTAAATCCACGACAAGCATCAATGTCACTAGCTTCTTCTGGCCATTGTAGTTTACGACATCCAAAGGTCTGGTTTTCAGCAGGTCAAGACAAATATTATTCGTAATTTGGGCCTAAAGGTGATTAAAAAGCTTCTCAGTGAGAAATTGTTGTCTTTTATTGGACGGTTAAGGTTAACATTTCACATAGAGTTCTCGAAAATCTAAATCACAAAGTCAAATATTAGGTGGTGCTAGAATGCACTATAGCAAGCTGTGACTCAGTAACCTTGTCCAACTCCTAAGATCAGTCCTGAGGAAAGAAAGCTGATTGCTACAACAGGTTAAAAAACAAGAAATATGTACATTATAAGCCAAATCCTCAAGCCATCACATTCAGGTTGTTTGGTCCAATATAAATGTATATCAATAAATGAACACACAAAACCAGCTTCACAGAAGAGGCTTCTGTGAAGCTGGCATAAGTCTTCTCCTTATGCCAGCACTCTGACATAAGGAGAAGACTGAACTGTTTTTCATCCCACTGGCCCAGAGCTCATCTGTTTAGCTGTAGTTATATCCTAGATTGAGCGACTAAATGAGCTAATACTGCCAAAAAGTTTTTACTTGTTCTATAGCATAGAAAGTACTACTGGATCATATTTGCCATGCTTCCTTTAAAAATGTAGCTGAAAATAAAACCAGCATCTGCATGACATCTGTCAACAGAAAGAAGCATTAAGAGCTCGGGAATGTCCAGGAAGGTGGCTGTGATGACCACTGTGTCTGGGCTTGAACAGACACAGTGGAGTAAGAGCAGCTGATGGGATGGATCCCCAATCAATCACTTACTGAAAAGCTGCTGAACACCTCGGATTCTGGGGCTCTCCACTCTGTCTCCAGGATCTTAACATCCAAACAGGGTGCCAGTGGACAAAATACATCACAAGATGCTGAAGGCTCTGGGAATTTTGAGGCTGTCATATTTGACATGTCTCTTCAACGTCACTCAATAGTGTGCTCCAACTATCAAAAGCTTAAGTTATCAGTCTCTTTGGGTAAGTTGGAAGGAAGGGGCCAACCTTTCATTGAACAGAGGACGAGCAGTGCAGCTGTTGTCCTGAAATGTTAACCAGATCTATGACCTCTTGATTGAGGGCTGCTACAGAAAAAAGGTTGCCGGGGACACTCTATAGGGTCATCTGGCTCCTGTATGAAGAAAGCAAGAGATGAGTCTGCATTCTCAGCACAGCACTGAGTTTGGCCATTGCCAGGATGCCCTTTGTCCCAATTCTCTTTCTATTGTTCATCTTAATGTGGTGTCTGGTTCGAGAACTCTAGGGGTCTGTTGAGGAAAATAAGTATGTTTATCTTTCTTCATCTGTGTGGAAACTTATGGCCTTGCCTGAGTTGTAGTTTCTACTGAGATGAATATTGATGAAGCCATCACATTCAGCTTAAGAACAAAGCAGATCAGATAAGGTTGTTGCTTAAACACAAGGGTGCAATAAAATCATCTTGGACCTCAATTATTCAGCATGGTAGAGGTCAATATTAAGTAACGTCTATTGTGGTGTGTCTTAACTGTATAAAACTTGGTAATAGGTCTGATAGAGTTCGACACAGACCAGGATGTTAATGTGCTGATGTCTCACTTCTTGCATGCAAGAATAAATCGCAGAACCGTCTTTGTTTAAAGTCAGTGCCAGTCCAGGTCTCATGTAATTCACATTCGCTATGTTGGGTTTCTTTTTTCCACCTCTCTTAGGCCAAGCATGTCGGATGTTGGCATGAGCTTGACTAAAAGGTTAGGGGTCATTCCAAGGAATCTTCCTAACCCTGAATAAGCTCATAGAAGTAGTTGTCCCAGTTAAACTGGATCATTTTAAACTTATGACACAAAAAAGTTTCACATGACTTGTGAAACTTTTATTCTATGAGTAAAAGTAAAAAGGATTCAAAAGATTTTATAATGTTCCAAAAATAGTATTAACATAAAGAGATTTGATATAACAAAGTGTATATATTATGTTTTTAGTTGAGAATTACAATATCCGTTTACACAGGGCACAATCAGGATGCTAACCTAGGCCTCCTGTGGGTCCATTTCAGAAGAGAGATAGGAAGGTAAAGGCTTGTGATAAAAGTGGACAATGTTTAGAAAAAGGCTGCTGATCTCTAAGGTTTAAAGAACCAGTTTCTTTCACCAATTCATTCCCTGATTTAACATTTTATTTGGACAAGAATGTAAGCAAAATGTGTTTTAAGGCAAAATATTCAGTTGCTGTTTTTAAGATTCTTACATCTTTTGTGAGATGTAGTAATCAGGCCCTTAAAGTTGAACCAACACTTACTCTAAACACTAATAAAAGTGTCTGTTCAACATTTAATGGTAATATCTATGATTGACTATTGAGATAAGAAACAGAATGGGTTCAAATTTTCCCAAAGAAATTGTAATTATTCCACAAGCTTGTGTATTCAAATATGACAAGGGCTTTTTCAGACACCATCCACCTACTACATAGTTTGAAATAAGGAATATTTATTAAAAACCATGAAAACAAACATTGTTATGCTGACATTCCCCAGGTTAGTTTCATCAGTTATTTGAATAAATCATATTTTGTGTATATTGTATTCAAATTATGTGCTTTATCCAGCAGAAATGTTCTGTCTCTCTTCTCAGAAATCGCCACTTTTTCAAATTATTTGGAATATGGTTTTAATATAAAACTTTGGGACATGAAACTAGTCCAGATCTTTTTCTATCACCTTCTCAATTTTTAACTCAGCAATATTAAGAGCTTTGCACTTTTGCAGAAAAAGGTTTTAGATGTGACCGTTTGTGAGATGTTCTCATACAGATGCAACTCATCTTTATCAGGATGCTGTTTGCAGAGCCACATCCTTCACTCTAACATGTTTTGCTGAGCAGGATTCCTTTCAGCTCTATTGATAGCTATGCATGTCAGACAAAGCTAAGATCAAATTTGCTTTGACAACATAACTGAATGTTTTAGTGTGGAAATAAAATGCATTACATCTAATAATTAACAGCTATAGAAACGGGACTCTCCGGTTTATTTAGTCTCTGGCGTGGAAACATGCATTTTGGATTTAATCGGAGGATGCAATCGCAGAGTACAATTCAAATCTCAACTTTGGCTTTCATCCAAATTCGCAGGCAACCGCCCCCTCCCCCAGCTGGAACAATGGCAGCACTGGGGATAAATCACCCAGGTTACATAAATCATGCATAAATTCACAGTTAATACCATAAAAAGGTGTGTTGGTATCAAACAGCTAAAAATCTACAAGTTCCTCACCTGTACTGAGCTGCGGCGCCATGCGTAAATCCGAAATAATTGCCGGTAGCCATTTTGGCATCTTCACCAAGCCGGCTGGGCACTGCAGAGGACAGACACAGCAGGCTCTGATGAGCGCATTTCAAGGACTAGCCATTAGCCTGTTTATTCGTGATGCTCAGTAGCTTTTAAACAACCATGGGTCAGAACAAATCAGCCTAAGTAATGTCCAAGCTTTTAATGATACTCACCATAGGTGAAGGAGACCACTGGACATATAGGAATCATTGGGGTTTTTTAAGCGTTCTAACGATGCCTCACTAGTATACCAGCCTCTTCATATTACATGTCGTACCCGGAAATGCTGCCTTCGCGCATGCGCCACAAGAAGGTAGGGTGCGGTCTAGCTCCTGATCCTGCGCCAGTAATATTTTTAGTTAATCGGGAGTTGCATTGCCTTTCATACATCAACGTTATACAGCGATTATGGAGAGACAATGAACAAAAGTAGTGTGCTTTTTGGACCTACGTTTAACCTCGGTTTTGGTCCATTGATTGCTCACCGAACCGCTACAGACGTTTTTGTGGAGAGCTGGTTAAAAATTAAAATAAATAATTTCGCTTATTTAGTCATGAGAGAGACAGAGAGAGAGAGTTGGGATTCATTTTTCAACGTCATATTTTCACCATGTTCACCATGTTATTCACTTATTTATAAATGTTACAGTTTCAAACTAAATATTTAGTTGGCGAGCTAACTAGCTTCAAAGCAAATAGTTATTTAGAAAGATATAAGATCAAATTGTTTTGAGAACATAACTGAATGTTAAATATTCAGTTGTTTATAATATAACTTAACCACTAAATCAGACTAAATAAATATTTACACTGATGCTAAATATTTATTTAGCAAGTTGAATATGTAGTTAACAAATTAAATGTTTTATAGCAAACAAAATAATTAGACAGTAAGCTAAATATTTATCCTGCTAAGAGCAGGATAAGCTTGTTAATGTGTTAACAAGCTTAACATATTAAGCTTGTTTTTATTTAACAAGGTTAATATCTAGCTTGTTAAATAAAAACTTAGTTTCTAATTAAATATTTGAAGCTAGGCATTTTGCTTCATATTTATGTGAAGCTGAGTATTTTTGCTTCAAATATTTGATGCTAATAAATAGCTTGCTAAATACTTAGCAAGCTATTACTTAAATACTTAGTAAACTAAACCTTAGCAGATAAGGGTTTGGCACCATTTGTGCCAAAATATGGTACAAAGGTGCTAAAACATTTTTGCTAAATATTTAATTAGTAGTCTACTAATTAAATATTTATCTCCAAGTTAAACATTCACAAACACAATGATCTCCGCGTTTATAATAACGAGTAGGCTGTCATCAGCTACAAGGATTACAGTACAGGCTTAGTCAAAGCAATTTACACTCCATTCCCGTTGGGGGCAGTATTGTATCAAGACGTTTATCGACACTAGCCACAGAAGGCAGAAGAGGGAGAAAAACCTCCCGGCTTGCCCCGCACCGCTGCTTCTTTTGGACATTATGAAAGCTAGCAGACAGAGTGCTGCAGTATAAGTGAGTTCAGCGGCTCAGACACCACAAAAAGTGACCGTTCAGGATGAGCGGGATGCGGACTATTCTGACCTCCACAGCGGCGATTGCTTTTATGGGGCTCGGATATGGAATGTGGTCTGTGATATCTCCAGGAGAACAGCGAAGGAAAGAGATGCTGAAGGTGATTTCATGTAAACTCAACCTTGCCTGTCTCCTATCGGGAGTTTCTGTTTCAGCCTCAGCTTAGAGCTAGAATCAGGGACGCTACCAGAAAACTTGGGCCCCATGACAAAAAATTTAATTTAATTTCCACAATTTTAAAGGCATACAACTGCATTGCTTTCTTGTCATTACAGTTTGTTATGAGACAGATTATCTGTGAAAAGATGAATCTCTTACACCTCCTCCCAGACCTACTACTGACTGTTAAAGATTGTGATTTACAGCGCTAAAACGCACCTCGTGCCTCTGATTGGTTGTTTCTCGAGATTACTGGGAGAAGGCAGAGGAATTAAATTATTCTCAGATAATATCTCTACATATTGACAGTCTTAACAAATATGTTATTTTTGTTAATAGAAGTTACATACTGCAGCTTTAATTTAACTTAGGAAGGGACGGGTCAGGAGGGACGTAGCAACAGACCTGTCATTTAAATGCAAGCTAAGGCAGGACTATCTGGACTGACAAGAGGCTGTTTTTTTATTATAATTTCATAAAGATTGTTTGAATTTCTGTCACTAATAAATATATTTTGTTGTGTAACTATAAAAAGAGCAGTGAGAGGAAAAATTTACATAGACTCCCTAGAATGATGCTAACTAGAATAGGTTGTCACTGAACACTGTTTGCTCACCGTTTTCACTGGGCCAGGGAGGAGGGGTTATTCTGATATGGGGGTTAGAGCTGCTACTGTCTGACTCACTTGTTACGTGTGGTAAAAGGTACAGGGACAACTTAAATATATGAATATGTTGGTAGATTTGTTTTCCTTCTTTCTTTAAATGCTAGTGAAATGGAGGCAGTCTGTAACTAAGCTGTCTGTGCTAAATGGTTGATATTCTCACACAGTCTAACCACCTCTCTTGGAGAAAAACTGGGCTACAAATTGACACTCTTGTCTTTTTTCTCTCTCTCTTTGTAAACCTGACTTTAATATTTTTTCTTGGCGGCATAGTAACTGCCACAGTCTTTGTCTTCTACTGACTGCTGCTGAACATCGTCACTGTCCAACGCGCCAAGCAGGAACGAATCATTTCATGCAGATCTTCTTCAATATTGCCCATACTGTGAAGGAACAGAACACTATCTCAGTGGCTGTGTAAACTTTAAGAAGCTAGACCTTACAACTGTCGCCACTTGGCTAAAGGATAAATCCAAATGCTGGCGCTGCGGCCATAAACACACTCCGGAACAATGCACTCTGAAGAAGCCATGAAGCACTTATTAACGCTTCATGGCCTAGCTGACGCTAGAAGGCGGAACCCTGACATCTTAACAGTGAGTACCACCAGAGTATTTCTGGATCCTGTCAGTCACTCTGGCCGTGTAATGCTGAAGGTTGTGCCCATTCAGTTACACATCAGAGGAAATCTCTAGACACGTATGCACTCTTCGACGACAGCTCAGAGAAAACCATTATACTCCCAGCTGCAGTTAAGTTATTAGGCTTATCACCAGAGAAGGAAATTCTATCTCTGCGCACCATCCGTCTAGATGTGATCCAGATAAAGGGAGGTTATGTCTCATTCCAGGTGTCCCCGAAGGCCCAACCAAAACTATGTTATAAAATGACACATGACTTTACTGCTCAACAGCTCAGCCTAGCTGAACAGTCTTGTCCAGTGGAGCTTTAACAGTCTTAAAGCTCCACTGGACAAGACCACTTAAAGCAAGTGCAGCTGGAGGAATTCAACCAGATACAGCCTCTAGTGTTAACTGGTTCAGACAATGTTCACCTCATAACTCCCATCTGTCCGGTCAGGCGTGGCCCAGCCCATGCTCCTGTCGCCTTTTACACCAAGCTGGGGTGGGCCATCCAAGGTCCAAGCAGTAGTATGCCTACACAGCAGGGAGAGATTCACTGTCTGAATATATCATGCCTTTCTCCTGCTGAGGCCCTGCATCAGGATGTTCAGCGTCTGTGGCAACTAGATGCTCCCATACATAGACTTGAGAAGGAGGTCACACGCTCAAAGGAAGACAGAGAAGCCACAGCCATGTTAGAGGCTAAGACCATCAGGATTCCATTGGATTCCATTGCATGGAGAGATATGCCACCCCCCTGCTGAGGAAGAAAGACTTTCCTCGGATGCACGTCCCTCAACGGCCTGCTGAGGGCCACAGAGTGGAATCTGATTAAACATCTGGACCTGGCCCTCACATACAACCAGGAGATTAAGAAGTTGGTTGATTCTGGTTACGTGGTGAAGTTGACTCCAGAAGAGATTCACAGCTCTACTGAATCTTGGTACGTGCCACAACATATGGTACGTAATAACAACAAGGCTCAGGTGGTCTTTAATTGCTTATTTGAGTTCCAGGGCACCGTCCTCAATAACTACCTCCTGCCAGGCTACACTGGGGCCTACACTACTGGGTGTACTCCTCCGCTTCCGTCAGTATCCTGTGGCTGTTAGCGGAGAGATAAAGGCCATGTTTCACCAGATCCGCCTCCTCCCTGAAGACTGTCTCCTGCTATGGTTCCTGTGGAGAGATTGTGAAACAGAGAGGCTCCCAGATGTATATGAGTGGAGAGTCTTGCCGTTTGGGACAATGTGTAGCCCCTGCTGTGCTATGTCTGCCCTTCAGAGATACATGAAGGAGTGCCAACCTTATAATAAATTAAATGAAATTACTCCACTTAAATTACAAGCACTTGACCTGAGGTCTGAATGCACAGTGCCTCAGAAATTCCTCCTGGTCCACATCTGCATAGAAATCTGCGCCAGTTCATCAGTCAGTTGGTTCTGTCTGATCCAAACCGATCAATTGAACCCTGCGAGTTTTTTACCTGGTGAGCGGTCCGGGCGTGCGCTTTTGTGAGTTTTTTTTTGTGTGTTTTCGCGTTCTCAAAACAGACTGATTGATTGATCTGCTGTGCTCCTCCAGAGCGCCGTTCTCCTTTTGGACGCAGGAGGAAAATGTTCATGACATAACACCTGTCATGAACATAAGGAAGTCTTCATGACACTTTATGATTGTTGTCATAAAGTGTCATTCGGTAAATCATGACACTTTTAATACAAAGTTGACATTATTCAAGATGTCTTCGTTATGACAACTTGACATTAACCAAGAATCATTATATGTCATAAATATGTCATAATAATAGTTATGTCATCACACAATAGTTATGTTATCACACAATAGTTAAGTTATCACCCTAACAAAATGGTAACAAAACAGCAATTAATATTTGACCTAATTTAATTCTTCGCAGCAGCAGAGCCGAGTCTGCATTAGTTGTGCAGCGCAGGGCCATGCAGAGACGTTTGGATAGGCAGAGGCTCAAAGTTAAAAAGGGGCTCATTTAACAAGATCTTAAAACATTGTACAACTACATAGCAACAACCCATATTAATCAAGAATCTAATATTTAATTGGATCATACTATATCATCTAGGGGTGTAGTGATACAATAATTTCACGATGCGATATACGATATTCTGGTCACGATACGATATGTATCACAATATTTGTTGAGCGATACAATTCAGTGCATTTTTACGATTTTCTGAAAGATTTTAGAAGGACAGAGTGATTTTAGTGACATTTTGTGTTCCATAGGCTTGAATTTAGTTAACTGAAAACTGATTAAAAGCACGA